ATCACTAGAGAGAAGGATTATCGGTAAAAAAGTTTCAGTACTGTGAGCCGGCCTGAAACCAGATTGAGAAACAGGTAGCAAAAAATTAGAGTTTAAATAGAATGATAATTGATCATAAACTACATTTTCTATTATTTTAGAGATGAAAGTAATATTAATAACATGTCTATAATTAAATAAAGAGGAAGGACTTAAAGAGGAGTTTTTAAGAATAAGAATAACAATAGAATTATTATAAAAAAAAAGAAATTTAGAGGTGGAAAAAGATAAATTAACTAATTTGAAAATGATAGGTTAAATATTGAAAAAATTTTTTTATGTAAATTAGAAGAAAGTAGATCTAGAGAACAAGTTGTAGATGACATAGACTTAATAATTTTAATAAATTCTAGAAGATTACAGGAGTAAATAAAGAAAAAATTTCACTAGTAAGTTTAGTAAAGTTATGAGGAGTAGAATGAGAATTGGATGATGCCAGATAGTGTTACCAAAAGTATGAGTAGGAAAAGAACATTATTGTGTTGATTTAAAAAGAGCAAAATATCATTAAATCTACGAGCATAAGAGCAAGATAAACGATTGAAGTGTAAGTTGAAGTCACCAGAAACAAAGAACGAACAAGAAAAATTTATCTAAAAATATAGAGAGAGAATGAGTTTATGATTGCTCACATATTTTGTTCATCTCATGTACACCTTTTGAACTAGGGTTTATTTTCATGAATTCTTTGATCAAAGAAAGGTTTTTTCAATGATCGCCAATTTTTGTAGCATTCTTTGTTCCATGGTGGAGTTTTGCTATAATGAAGAAATTCCATTTTTCGACTCTTTCGCCTGCTATAACCAGTTCTACTGTGTAGATCAAAAAATTTAATTCTGTCAGATTAGAATTACTATTTTTGAGCAGATGTTTCAAGGCTTTAATTGCTATTTTCAATTCATTTGAGATTTTTATAAAGTTTAAAATTTTTTTCAATTTTTTCTTTTTGTCTATATAAACATTTTGGTTTTTTAGCATTTTTCCTGAATTTTGTTCATCATAATTTTCAATGTCATCAATACTACCACTTCTGGAAACTAGTGGGTTAGCAATATTTCATCACTTTCTGAGACAACATTTTCAAGTCCTTTATTTTCATATTTTGATGCTACATCTCTCATTATGTCTTGAATTTCAACTGCAGTCAGTTTGTTGTTATTTAAAATGAATCTCCTTATATTACTTAGTTTTTTAGGAATCATATTGGGAAAAACATTGAGATTTCTGAATTTCCAGATTCTGAAGGTGTCTTGAGTAACATTTCCTTCTTTTACTACATTTGTTAATTTTAATAACATAATGTTACCTGTTTGTAATCTTCTTTTGTACAATGTTGTCTTTTTCTTTCATTATTTTTTGATGATACATTTGGTGAATTTCTTTTCTTTGAGAAAAACTTTAGGTTTCTTACATCAGTATCAATAAAACTTGAAATTAACTTAAGTGATTTTCTCACTTTCATTTACTTCAATTAAAAATTTTTCTTTTTAAAAGCAACCGTATATTCGTGTTGTCTCTTTACTCTAGATATCCATTTGCTGACATCGTCCTTCTGGGCAATTTCTTATTTTTGTCTACTAGATTTTTATTTCTACTCAATCTTCTTTTGGGAGATCATTATTTAATGACAATTTTTTTAATTCAGTTAGTTTTTCAAATTGAAACAATTTTCCATCTCTAAATTTGAATGGAATGATTGATAAATTTTATTAACACATGTCTGGGTTTCTGTCTTTCATCAAATTTTTTCCCAAGTCTTATAACATAAGCAATTTATTTGATTTTATTTACTTATTTGTTTAATTTTGTACTACGGCCTTGCATGCTGTAACAGTTTCTGCGTTTTAAAGAATAAAAATAAATTTGTCTATCCATATCATGGCCTGTGATAGTTGTCATTATTCTTATGATTATATTTTAATCTTAAAGTTTATTTGGCTCATTTTCTAATAAATTTTATATTATACAATATTGTTTTTTTCTTTCATGTCTGTCATTTGTCACAACAATTTTATTTTGTTTATCTAACACTGAAATTTAAATTTTGTTAACACCTTAAGTCAACACTTCAACTTTGTCTTTAAACAAATCTGACCATGACTTAACAATTTTTTCATTCTCTTCTAATCTAAACAAATAATTCATACAAATTTCTTTCACATTTTCATTAAATTCTTGAATTTTTTCATTTAATTCTTTTATTTGTTTTTTATGTTCTTTAAACCTCTCTTGACTTTCTTCAGCTTTTTCAGGTGTTTTTCTTATTTCTAACAAATTAGCAGGAACATCATTCAACAACAAACATTCTTCTCTTTCTGAGACAAAATTTCTTCAATCTTTCGCGATGCAAATCTAAGCATCTCTGTGCCAGCTCGATCAGATCGCAATACCTTTCAAAAAATGTCCCATTCTTCGTACAAAATTCTCCTTCAACTCATGTGCAAATGCGGGTCATCATCATTAATTTCGTCATGTTGGTAAAAGGGTTTTACAGTTTTAATTCACAAGAAAGGTGACGCCAATAACCCTGCCAACATCAGACCGATCACACTACAGCCTACCCATAACAAAATATTGTCTTCGTTCATTAACAATAGATCATATAAGTTTCTTAAAAACAACACTTATCAACAAAAATATTCAAAAGGGTTTTTATCCAAAAGTTGATGGTTTGGCAGAAACTCTTGACATATATGCTTAAAGATGCTAAGAGACATCAAAGAACAGTCATCATCATATTTTTGGATCTTCAAAACGCATTCGGTGAAGTCAGCCCAGACCTTATCTCAGCTGCTTTAGATTATCATCATATCCCAACTGCTATTGCCAATTTGATAAAATTCATATATAATCATAATATATATAGAATGCGAAACTCTAATTCCTCCGATCCCGGTCAAATGAGGTGTACTCCAAGGCGATCAGTCGTCACCGTTGCTGTGCTTCAATCCTCTCATGAAATTGCTGGAAAATAAGTAATATCATCAACGTGGTTACATGTGGTGTGGGGCCCTTCGGCTTACTTAAAATGAAGAGTGTGGTTTCAATTTGCTGATGACTTAGCAATCATAGCCCACAGCGCTGATGGCGTCCAGAAATTGATCGACCTGAACGATGCTTGGTGTAAAGCTACCGAGATGAGAATGAGAATAGACAAACGTGGCTCATTCGGGATGAAGAAAAAGAACGAAACGAAACACACAATTCCTACCATTTTATCAATTAATGACACTGCTATACCGCAGATTCGCATTTGTGAACATTTTGAATATCACGGTAAATGCTTCGATTTTGAATGCAACAATTCTAAAGCTAAAGATTTCCTGCTCAACAAATTGCAAAGCATATTACAGACCACATCAGAAATGGACACCAAAGCCCAGTGGAAGATTCAAATGTTAAGATGGTTTATCCCAACTCAATAAGCCACATTTTACCTACGACATTTCACTGTTTTGGATATCTGGCAAGTTGGACCTATTGATTACTGATGTTGTCAGATCCTGGCTGGCTTTACCGATTAGCGTTTGTCTGTCTGAAGTTCTATCACTGCCATACAAACTGCGGATTTAGGCACAGGTACAACAGAAAATGGCCTGGGGCGGCAAATTTTGACGATCGGCAAATTTTGAAAACTAATGATTAAATGCTTAAGTTAAATATAAATTATCGTTAAAATTTCTACTCAACTCAAAACTAAGAGTTTTTAATTTCAAATAATTTGAACTCTTAAAAATCAAATAAAAATTGTCATTTGTTCTGATAAACCGATCAGCCAATCATTCAGATGGACCCAATTTTTTTAAATTCGCCATCTTGTCATGTTAACGCCATGTTTGTAGTTTCAAAAAAATAGTAAAAATGAATGATGGTAGAAAAAGATAAAGTGTGAGTCAATACGCAAAATTGCGGAAGGACAAAGAATTTAAAACCAAAACGGATTTGGTTAGTGAGAGGAAAATTAGTGAATTTTTTCAGTGGAAGGTCAGTACAGATCAATTTGAATAAAATGATGCTGAAGATTACTTGATACGTTATTTCCGAACGATCCAGGCGACATATTTTTTTAAGTCTTTACTATTGCAGCTCTAACATACGCAGAACCACTTACAATGTTGCGTATTTATTATCTATATATCTTTTGTTATGTTTTTCATATCTTTATCAATTGATTTGAAGCAGCCATCTTCGCCACATATGTTTTTTATCCTTTTCACACGACGTACACATCTATTTGTGTGCACGCGCAAGCACCGCATCATATACGCTGAGTATTGATAGCCATTGAGATGTTTATTCAACGCCATTTGAACCTCTGAGCCATCTCGCCGGCCAACATGCAACAACTTTCGTCGTCTCCCCATTTACCAACCTCGGAAGGATGGACGGCCGGGTTCCGAACTGTTGCATTCAGTCTTATTTAGCCTCCTTAAACCAAAATTTAGTTCCAAACACTCCAATTGATTTGTGTAAATAGATAAGAGTGAATGAGTTGCAGTGCGTATATCTAAATGTAGACATTGCACTTCGGATGTACATTTGCACTTCTGCTACAATCGGTTCGGTTGAGCGGTGTTTTTCTTGTTTAAAGCAGGGCATCGAACAGGAACTGAACCGTAACCGAAAACCGTTAAAAACCGAAATTTTGCTCGGAACAAAAACCGTAACCGAACCGAAATATTGTTTGCTAGTTTAACCGAAACCGAAATCCGTAACGAAATAAAAAAAACGGTTCGATGCTAAAAATTTAGAAGAAAATATTTAGATATTTCGTCTTTTGAAATTTTGTTAATTTTTATTATCTTTGAAAATTTGTTATCTCTCTTTTCGTTTTTTTTTCCGACTGAGTTCGCCGATCATTTGAGTAAGAATTGCCACGTGAAGAGAAATCCAGTACAATCGGAGAAATTAGAGATCAAGTGCAATCATCTTCAAAATTCATGGTGGCCTGTCACAAGTGGTTACTTTTTGGCTTCCATGTCATGTTCTTTCATTTCAGCATTAATTTCTTTTAAAATATTGTTTGATGTGATTTGGCGTAATAAAATATGAAATAACTAATAACTTCTGGTCTCCCAGTGTTTTAAATAATTAATTAATTAATTAAATTCAATCAGAAGTTTGAACACAATAAGTAGTTTTTTAACCAGTAGATGCAGTGATAAAATTGGAATGGTTCAACATAAAAAAATTAATATGCTTAAAATCCGTTTTTTTTTCTGAAAGCTACTCAAATTTCGCATTCATATTTGCAATTTTTTATAATATTTTTAGTTACAACTCCACTTTGATGCAACTGTTTCCGCGGTAATAAGACCGTCCGAGTAGGTACGAACCAAATCGAGTTAATGGATCACTACGAGGTTTCCGTTTTAGCTAAATAAATGTTAATAAAAAAATTATCTGTGAATTATTTTTAGCTATTTTTCGTGTGTGAATAAATTATTTTAATTTTTTTGTTATTTTATGTCGTTGATATTTTGCCCAAAATTTATTGATAGATTAAAATTAAGTTGATGACCATTCATTTTTTGACAAGCTGCGGATGATGCAACGAGATTAACAACGTACTCATATTTGAAATATATTTTTATATATTTATAATATTGTCAGGTTTTTAATTTCAATTTGTGAAAACACATAGAAGAACATGTTTGTTTCATTTTAATTTTATACAAAAGTTGCTTACACTTACTTTCACTATTTTTTAAATAATCACGTGATTCCTGTAATTTATTTTTTGAATCCATTCCAATCTGATTGTTTTCATATTCGAAAAAATTCAATTTTTTTATTTTTGTTTTTGGTCTATTATTTTCGTACTGAATATCACTTTTAAATGTGTTAACAAAAGTTTTTGTCTCTCTTTCAGAATGATGTATCGAATTATTTTTACTTTCTTCGTTGTGTGTTTTTTTATATTTTTTCAAATCGTAATTAGAGTTTTCATCATTTTCTCCGTCATAGCTTTCAAATACTGTTTCTAGCGTAGGTGTACCACATACAACATTATTTAATAATGTTGGTTTGTTGATCTGATTTGTCAATAAAGAGTTGGTAGCCACAGAAGAAGTTGCAGTGGTAGATCCAGAAATATCTTTAACGTTCCACGTCTGATTGCGTTTAGATCTGTTATAATGAAAAAATTTAAATTTATGTTTAATATTCTTGGTACAAACAAAAGGTGCTTTAGGACCGCAATTTCCTACAAAAAAGGTCAGTCAAGCAAAAAACATGTCAATATTCAAGTCCTTCACAGTAAATATCTAGTTACGCTAATTCAGATTATTAGTGAAATAAAAACTAACTTGATATTTTCTGTCAAATGTGTGCAGTTTTCTCCAAAATCACAACCACAAATTTTTCCAGTCAACAAGCCACTTTGAAATTGTATCATCGCAGCGTTTAGAAGCGGAAAAACAGATGACCTACCCATAGCGGTAAGAGATGAACATGAAGAATTGTGGCTAACTGCTGAAATGGGATTGTTTGTTTGACTACTTACGTTGCTTTTGTGTTCTCGGTTGTTGATCAAACGAGCCATAATGGCTTTTTTCATATCGTGATAACTATCTCGTGTAGACTTCTCTTTCACTATCTGCATGATAGTAAATTTTAATGCTATCAATTAAAAAAAAGGACTTAATAACTTGAAAATATTTATGGGATAGTCAGTCAAGACAAGTGCAATTCATTACTGAATTGTATTTTGCAAAAACTATTTCAGTATTTATGAACCCGGAGAATTTTAGAGGTTGCTGGAGTACGAATAAATATAGCTGTCAAAATGTAATTTTGAAATTTGAAGTCTTTACACAATTTTTTACTGAACCTGTTAACGCAAGTCTAATAATGAAATTTTTAATCATGCCTTTTGTTTATTAAACATATTAACCTAGATTTATAAAAAAAAAATATAACACATACCTACCTCGTAAAAGTTTGAACTACTCAAAAAGAGTAATTAAAACAACAAAGTTGAAAAACTGCGAAGATGACGAAATCTAAGAAAGCTATCAGCATAAGGACTAATAGAAATCAAACTCATACAGAATAAAAATAACAACTAATAAAAACATACATTTATTCTAAATTTACACATGCTATACCTAAAATAATAAACATATGGTATGAAAGATTATTGGTACGACCATAAATTTCTCCTAAAATCCACTCTTACTCTGGCATAGGTTGAAACTTAGATTAGATAGCGGCCAGTGCGTCCACGTCGTGGAAGATGGGTAACGGTTTATTATGCCAGTTTATTAAATCTGTGCCATTTACAGTTTTATACATTTGATCACCTCTAATTCTTCTTTTTTCGTTAAACCGTAAAGTCGTTAAACCAATCATACTTAATATGTCATGATAAACTATGTTTTTATTTTACACAATCTGATCGCTCTTCTCTGAACTGGCTCTTATTTTTTTATTATTATGTCTCCCGTTAGATATGGATTCAAAATTGTAGCTGCACACTCTTGCTGCATTTATTAACATTTATTTAGCTTAAACTAGAGATGTATAAAGCAATTTTAGTGATTTTTGTCTAAAAACTGAAAAAACTTACTAATCGTTCTTAGTTGTTTGTTAGTTTTCCCAACTGCATAATAGACAGGTTCTTTCCATTTTAGTTTGTTTGACACATATACCCAAGTCTTTTTCAAGTTTAGTTTCACTTAATTTTATTTTTTCTTTCTTGTCATTGTATAAAGATACATATACAAGTAATAATAATATTTAGTGTTATTTCTACCAATATGCATTATTATACATTTTTCAGTATTGAATTTTATATGCCAATTCTCTGACTATTTAAACATTTTATCCAAACTAGTATTATTTTTATCATTTTTTTATTAATTTAATCATTTTTCTGTCATCTGTATATAATTTACAATTATTTCTGACGTTCATAGTAAGGCCGTTGATACCTATACACCGCAAATAGTATGTACCGATACTTGACCACACCTGTTCAGTATCCAGTTCTACACATTCACGATATCGCTCATAATGTAGGACAGGTGAGGGTGTTCACGATGTTAGATTTAGTACGCGCTTACCACGGCAGAAGAAGATATTCTAAAAATAGCAATGACAACTCCATTCGGTTTATTTTAATTTTTGAAAATGAAATTTAGGCTGAGAAATGCTGCACAAACTTTCCAAAGATTCATCGATAATGTTTTAAGAGGTTACTTCTCGTTCACGCATACATCGTTGACATCTTTATCTTTATAACCAGCAAAAACTTCGAAGAGCACAGAAGTCATGTGGAACAAGTTCTTCAACGACTGCACGACAATGGACAGACCATCAAAATGTGAATGGGCAAAATCATCCACAATATTTCTGGGATATCAACTCGACAGTGAAGGCATTAGACCCTTCGATAACAAAGTCCATGCAGTCATCGATTTCGCTGAACAAACAACCGACAAACAACTACACCGATTCATTGAAATTATCATTTTCTATTGTCGATTCATTCCTGAATGTTCAATGATATTGTCACCCTCTCATTGAAATGTTTAACTTTAATTAAAACAGATTCACAATCGTAATAATATAATAGTAAGGTGATCAAATGACAATAAGAACAGTACATATTATGACGTTACGGCGGTTTATACTTTAAAATAAAATTATTTAATTGTTTTTAAAGGAAATCAAATTTGTAATGTTTTTTATAGTAATGTTTTTTATATCATATGAAATAATATCGTTCTAAATTTTAGGACCAAAATATAATAATTCGGTATTGTTGGATATTTATAAAATGTGTTTTGATGCCTTGTAGTTCTATTTTTAATATCATTTTCTAAAAACGGTTTATAAAAAATATGGTAATAATTGAATAAGGTATTTAAAGATGAAAATTGCAGAAAAGTATGTATGAATTTGTTCGATAGTTAGAATACCTACCGAACTATATAAATTTTGGACAAGATAATTATAAAGTAAGTTAAATAATAAACTGATAAACATTTTTTGAGTGATAAATAACTGATCAATTAAATAAGAAGGACTATCCCAAATAAAAATACAATATGGTAAATGAGGATAAATTACTATAATACAATGTCATCAAAGATGAAAAAGTGAATTTATCTTTTTAATTTATGTAAAATTCTTAAAAATTCTACTTCCTTTTGTATTGTTTTATCTTTAAACCCTACTAAAATTGGGATTGTTTCCTCGTTTCATTTAGGCTTGAATCTATTGACTAAAAACATCTTTTACAATTGTCTTGTCTTGCAGCCTCCCACTTTCGATAGATGAATTCCAAAAATTACTACATTTTTCTTTTTTTTTCTCTTTTTTCCCTTTTTTCTTTATCTTTTTTACAGCAACAACATTAACTTCCTCTTCAATTTTGTCTTGCCGTTTTTGACTACTATTACTTTTTTTTGAAGTTTCTTTATTTTTCGTTTTGTCCTTTCCTTTATTTTCAAGTTTGCTAATTTTTGATTCTAGCTGTAAACATTTTTTTCCGAAGCCAAATTTTCGCATGCTAAAAACGATGATTTAGAATTTAAATCATCAGTTTTCGATTCTAACTGAACATTTCTCTTTGTCAGATTCAGATTTTTTTCCAAGTTTTCAACTCTCAATCCCAGTGTTTCAAAAAAAATTTTTCTCTTCCTTTTCGGTGACATTTTAAAATTTAGCAGCAAAAATGTAATCTATAAAACGAAAATTTGAAATAATCTCAAAGTTTTAATTAATTTTCTTCTTTTAAAACTTTCAAAAAATTCTTCAACAACAAATCACATTCTAGGAAAATGCAAAAATAGATTGAAAATTTTATTTCACAACAAAAACTGCACATTGAATAAATAAAACTAAAAAAATAAAAATAAATAAACAGCAGCAAAAAATAAATCAATAAAGCTTAAAAATTCTCCGGACAATTATGGGCTCATAACCACAGATAAGCTGCCTATGTTAAATATTATAAACAAAAAAAATTAACCAGCGAATAATAGATACACGAACTTTAGAACCTCAGTTTACCAATCAATACATTTCCAATAAATGGCAAAAAAGATTCAACCACTATACAAACCATTTCAAGATCATTTATGCCAAAAATAAATTACAAAAAAGAAACAAAATCTCATAACTGCATAAATTCCAAAATTATTAAACTGTAATGAACAGATTAAAGTTGACCATACCAGATTGGATAGTGCAAAGTACAAGCACCTTCTGCACCCAGTGTAGAGTAGAACGACACTCACAATAGAACACATTTTAATAGAAAGCATAAAATAAAAAACAGAATATGCAAAGGAATAAATTATTTAACGGAAAACATTGTGATATTTGAAATATTGTTAATAGGTGATAATGATACGATAACAAAATTACCAATAACAATAGTAATAGTAACGGCAGTAACAGCAATATGACCATAAAAAGTTAAAATGAAGGAATGAAAAATTGGCGTATTAGCTGATAGAATGTGTTAAAATGGCGGGAAATGTTGAAAAATGGTAATAAAAACATAATTTTAAAATGTGTTTCATTTTAAATCATCCAAACATTAACATTTTTTAAAACAATACAAAAAATTAAATCAAGATTTAATTTTAGACAAAAAATTAAAAACCAAACCTGGAATTCTCTTAAGTATTTGTGAATTTCTCTATCTTCCAGAAGTTTAACATGTTTGCGCTTTATTCTGGACATAATAAGAGCTACAATAGAAATGCTGTAAACAAGCAAAACAGCAACAATATAACAGGCAGCTCCTTTTGCATCCAGTGTCCTGTTGTTGTGGCTTTGATTTTTTGTACAACTTTTGCAATCTACTAAGTTGTTAATACTGTTGTTGAAAATAAACGGTATGGTAAAATTGAGATGGAACATTATGGTTTTTGTTTTGTTATTTGAACATCTATTTTGCTCTAATTTCTAATTTTTTTTATAAAATTTTTAAACTTTGATGAAAAAAACTTTTGCAACTGGTATAACAAATTTGAAAAAGTTAATTTTTTATTTGTCTTTCTCAATTTTCAGAACGGTTTGTACCCTATCGAAGCAAAAAGCAAACATTTTAAAATCCGTATATATATATATATATATATATATATATATGCTTCATTTTCGTGTGTATATTTATATATTTATTTATATTTATATATTGGAAGGAGACCATATTTTATACAGTATTTTATGAATTCTACCGATTTTCAGAAAATTCGAGTAACAAATATTGAAGAGACAAACTTTCAATTGGTTAATGTCAACAATTTGGTAGAATTCATACAATACTGATATACAGTATATATACATTACAATATATATACAATATAGATATATATATATATATATATTTATTTATTTATATGTGCGCGTGCATATGTGTGTGCGTGCGTGTTTGTGTGTGAGAGTGTGTGAAACGTAAATTGATAACCACACATACATACACATACATATTTTGGGTTTAGACAATCATAAATACAATTATTTATAAAGATCACTGCGTTTTCGGCATTATTCAACTTGACAATTGACAATTAACACAAACATTGCTTCACTCGACGTGGAATCATTATTTATTAATGTTCCCGTCAAAGATACCATTGAAATCAT